CTGGAGATTTTAATTAATATCTAAATTATAACAACATAATTTGGAGAAATAGCAATTTAATTACAGTAGTGTACAGAAGCTTTGTCTCTGTATAGCTCCATTCCCTCCTTTTCCTTTGTACTTTTTTTTTATACAAGTTACACTTTATATATTGTGTGCCCATTAACATAGATTTATAATTATTGTTTTGTATAGTTCCCTTTAAATCAGATAGGAGAAAAAAATGTTTAAAACAACAAAAAAATGACATCTTTTCTATTTACCTAAGTACTTACTTTTACTGGTTCTCTTTATGTTTTCACGTACACTGAAGTTACTATCTAGTGTCCTTTCCTTAAAACCTGAAGGACTGCATATACTATTTCTTTTTATAGCGGGCCTAATGGCAATAGATGCTCTTGGATTATTTGTCAGGGAATGTAATATAATGGCATTTATATAATATTGATGACATTTATTTATTTATGATTATTTCATTAATAATAAAATCATTATTAAATAATTAAATGATACATTAACGTATCATTTATCATTTAATATCATTTTATCATTAATAAATTTATCATAAATAAATAATCATCTAAATGTGGATATCATCTAAAGCCCCATTCCAAGGGAAATGTCATCATTTTACCTGTTTGGTAATTTGCTAGAAGGCCTCATGAGTAAGGCTGTCTTCATTCGATTTCAGTTTGAATTCATCTCAAACTCTTCCAAAAGATTTGAAGAGATCACCTCCAAATTTATTTTACAAGACCATTACCACCCTGATAGCAAAACAATGGACACTACAAGAAAAGAAAATTACCAGCCAATATCCCTAATGACCGTAAAATGTAAAATTCCTCAACAAAATATTAGCAAACCAAGTTTTATAGTACATTCAAAGGATCACATACCATGATCAAGGTAGCTATATTCCAGGAATGTAAGAATGGTTCACCATACTCAGTCAATTAATGCAATATACATTAACAAAATGAGGAATAAAAATCAAATGATTATCTAAATAGGCACAGGAGAAGCATTTAACAAAGCACAACATCCCTTCAAGATAAAAACTCAACGAACTGGTTATAAAAGAATGTATCTCAACATAATAAAAACCATATATGAGAGAATCACAGCTAACATCATACACAGTGTTCAAAAGCTGAAAGCTTTTCGTCTGAGATAAGGAATAAGACAAAAATGCCCACTTTCACCATTTTTATTTAATATTCTACTGACAATCTTAGCCAAAGCAGTCAAGCAAGAAAGGAAATAAGGAACACCCAAATAAGAAAGGAAGAAGTAAAATCACCAATATTGGCAGATAACATATATGTAGAAAAATATCATATATAGAAAACTCTTAAAATTATACCAAAAAATTCTTACAATAAACAAATTTAGTAAAATGTCAGGATACAACATTGATATACAAAATCCATTGTGTTTCTATACACTAACACTGAACTAACTGAAAGAATATCTAAGAAAGCCATCCCGTGTATGATAGCACAAAAAGGAATAAAATACCTAGGAATAAATTTAACCAAGGAGGAGAAAGATCTGTACACTGAAAACTGTAAGATATTGATGAAAAGATATAGAAAAGACACAAATAAATCGAAAGATATTCTGAGCCAATGGATTGGAAAAATACTATTGTTAATGCCTGTACTATTTTTTAAAAATCTGCAGGTTCAGTCAAGTCCCCATCAAAATTTCAATGGTGATTTTTTTACAGTAATAGAAAAAAATAATCCATAAGCTTGTATAGAACCAAAAAAGGCCCCCAGTATTCAAAGCAATCTTGATGAAAAAGTCCAAGTCATCATACTTCTTGAATTCAAACTATATTACAAGGCTATAGCAATCAAAACAGTCAAGTACTAGCATCAAAACAGACACAAAGATCAATGAACAGAATACAGAGCCCAGAAGTAAATCCATGAAAATATGCTCAACCAATTTTGACACAGGAGCTGGGCCATACAATGGGAGAAGAGTGGTCTCTTCAATAAATGTTGATGGGAAAACTGATTATCACTTGCAAGAGAATGAAACTGAACTCCTTTCTTACACTATGCACAAAAATCAACTCAAAATGGATTACAATCTTAAACATATGACCTGAATCTATAAAACTGATACGAAAAAGCATAGGAGGTATGGAGAAGAAACTTACTCTACTATTCTGGTTCTTCGAGCTGGTATAATAATTAAACCAACATGAGACAGACTGACAAGAGAAAATAACCAAGTTTAATTACATGTGTACATATGGGAAAACCACATACATCAGAGAGCCAGAGACCTCACATACATGACAGGTTCAGAGACAAAAAGGGAAAATGATGTGTATATAATATTCTGAGTTAGGGCATCTTGGAGCTTCAGAAGGGAGGAAGGTCATTTGCAAGATGGATGCTAGGAAGAGCAGATGTCCAGTAATTACAAGTTTGCCCTGCCCTGTAGATAAGTCATAAAAATTATTTCTGATGATAACTCTTGTTATAGGCAAGTCCTCTAAATTAAATTCTTTAAAGGAGAGGTAAAAGTTTCTTGTGAATCCACAGGGTCGATACTGCCTTTCAAAATAAATCACTTGCCGAAGCGGCACATCTTGGGTAGGCCTGACTTGAACCCCTTCAAGGGTAAGCTTCTTAATATTGGTCTTGGCAATGAGTTTTGGACTTGACACCAAAAGCTAAGGCAACAAAAGAAAAATAAATTTAGTTTGAACGCATCAAATTAAAAAGCTTTTGCAAAGCAAAGGAAACCATCAACAAAATGAAAGGCAACCTATGGAATAGGAGAAAATATTTGCAAAGCATCTTTCCAATAAGAGGTTAATATCCAAAATATAAAAGGAACTCATAGAATTCAATGACAGGAAAAGGAAGGGAGGGAGGGAAAAGAAAACAATCTGGGCAAAGGATCTGAATAGACATTTTTATGTAAAAGACATACAAATAGCCAACAGGTGCATGAAAGGTATTTCTCATCACTAATCACCAGGGAAATGCCAATCAGAACCACAATGAGATATCACATCATAGTTGTTAGGATGCTGTTATCAAAAAACAAGATATAACAAATGCTGGCAAGGATGTGTGAAGAAGGGAACTCTATATACTGTTGTTGGAAATATAAACTGGTACAGCCACTGTGGAGAACAGAATAGAGACTGTTCAAAAAATTAAAAACAGAACTACCATATGATCCAGGAATACCACTTCTGGGAGTATATCCAAAGAATATGAAATTATATAAAAGAGCTATCTGCACTTCAATGTTTATTAGAGTTTATTTTTCACAATAACCAAAGTATGGATACAACCTCAGTGTCCATCAACAGGTAATGGGTAAAGAAGATGTGTTATGTGTGTACAACATACACACAGGAATATTATTCAGCCTTTAAAAAGGAAGTCTTGACATTTGTGACAATGTGGAAACCTGGAGGGCACTATGCTAAGTGAAATAAGCCACACAAATACTGCATGGTATCACTTACATGTGGAATCAAAAACAAATGCAAGAGAAAGTCAAACTCATAGAAGCAGAGTAAAAAAGTGTTTGTAAGAGGCTTGGGAGCAGGGAAACAGGAAGAAGTTTATAAAAAGGATACAATATTTCCATTATAAAATGAGTAATGTTTGAGGATCTAATGTATAACATGGTGACTATAGTTAGTTACACTGTATTACATATTTGAAATTTTCTAAGAAAGTAGAACTTAAATATTCTTTCCACACCAAAAAATAAAAAGATAAATATATGAGGTGATGAATATGTGAATTAACTCTGTGGAAGAATCATTTCAAAATGCATACATGTATCAAACCATCACATTGTACACTTTAAATACCTTACAACTTCATTTGCCAGTTGTACCTCAGTAAAGCTGAAATAATACCTACTGAATATACTCTTCCTAGTAAGTTATTTTATCATGTTTTGTTTTTTGGCTTCTTAGCTTATTGCTTATTGCTCTTAGGATATATTTGACTTGGGCTGTGAAGGCACAATAGTGTGTGTTAGCCAAAAACTAGAAAGCACTCACATGTCCATTAATAGTAGAATGGTTAATTTGTGGCATATGTTGAAAAAGTGAACTCCATGAATAAATACATGAAGTACAACACATGCATTAGCATGGGTGTATATTCTGAACATAATGAACAAAATCATGACACAAATAAGCTTATAGTATGTAATTCCATATATATGTGTATACATTATGTATAGACATAGTTTTACCTATTTTATACTATATATACCATATATTTAATACTAGTATTTTTAATACAGTATTTTATGCTGAGGCAAAACTATATATCACACGTGTGTGTATGTAAATACACACACTATATACAGTAGGTACAGAGTATCCTATATATAGTATTAAATAGGCAAAACTATGTGTTTGTATATATAGTGTATATTTTTATATATACTATAATAACCATGTTATACCAAAGTAACAAATAAAACTTGAGCAACATAAACTCCTCATACCTATTGCCTTTTATATTTATTCTTTATCTTTTATGTTAACTCTAGACTTTTATATATATTTTTATACATATACTATATATACAAATAATAAAAGTAGACAAAACTAAGCTCTTCTGATAGACGTTATTGTTAGGGGAACAATGCCTGGAAGAATGAAGGGGAGATTCTGGGGTGAAAGAATATGTTTTCTTTCACCATTTGGATGCTACTGTCTTCAGTATTTCATTTGTGAGCATTTGCAAGCTATAAAATGATGTGTACTTTTCTATGTGTATATTATACTACAATAAAAAGTTTGTTTAAATTATGTTTTAAGATCAATTGGAATAGTTTTTTTCTAATGTGGGTCTGTCATGGCTTAATATAGAATTAGATTAGATGTCATTAAAAACTAATTTGCACTCATATTTGCATACAGATACCCATAATATGAGTTTGGTAGCCTTGGTAAAGCTGTCCACAGCCATGAACTTGATCCTTTGATTTCTCAGGAGAACCTGTGCCTGTCAAGGGCTGGACCCAGAGACCTGTGGTGCCTCCTTTTCTTTTGGTTGTTCATGGAGCATGTACTACAATGGATGTAAGTTTGCCAGAAGCAAGATACCAAGAAAATTTAAGCTGCTTGGGGATGACCCAAAAGAGGTTTGTTTACTTCCTGAAATACCTTTATTTTTCATGGAGAATTGATGAGCACAGATGAACAATATGACACACTCCATTTAACTCTACAGAGAATTCCATCTCAGAGATGAATCAACAAAATTTTTGCTAAACTGTAGACACTTTATAATTTATTAAGTTAGCATAATAATCATGTTATACCAAAGTAACAAAACTTGAGCAACATAAACTCTTTATACCTATTGCCTTTTATATTTATTCTTTATCTTTTAGGTTAATTCTAGACTCTTAAAACAGCTGTCAATTCAGTATTAAAACTAAACTCTAACACTGGTGTTAAAACTGTCATCTTTTGAACCTGAATAATAGAAGTCACATTCATGACTGTCGCATTTGGAAAAGACTGTTTCTAGTCACATTTCACACCATGAGAATTGGTAACTTAGCTACTATAATGAATGCATTTAAGTACCCAAAACATATTTAGATTTCAGTATAAAAGTACAATTGAAATAAATGAACACTGATTTCTTACTGGAGTTGCTGGTTTTTGTCTTTTCTCAAGAATATATATTTCTCAAAATATAACTTACAGGTTTGTATCAAATTTAAAGTTTGGGTAGCATGCATTCTAGAGTATGCTAATTGAAAAATCGGAAAACCTAAGTGTATTTATCATTTAGGTGACCCAATTTTTAGTTATTCTGTGTAGCTTATAATTATCTTTCATATTTTAAATGCAGTTAAAATATAGTTATACTATGGATATTATAATATTGATATGTCCTAAATGAAAAATTTGTTAACTTTATTATTTATGACTATGATAGTAAGTAGAAGTGCAAAACCTCTTGAAATTATGATATTTTTTCATAGGATCATATTTTTAATAAACAAATTACTTAAATGTGCTAGATGTCCTCTTTTTCAGAGGAAGAAAATCAAATATTTAATAAGCCTAATGAAGAGTAGGAAATTTGCATGCTATCAGCCACTTTACTTTTCCACATTGGAAAGCTTTTTCAACACTATTTCTTAAATGTTTATCACTCCATCAAGGTTTCATGTAAACTAAATCCAGGAAATGGCTAGTAACATCCTCCTTCAGTGAGGTGGGAGAGCACTGCTCAGAGACCTCCTCAGCTTCTAAAAATATGAATGAGGGCATGTCTGCCTGGTAGTTACATCTCCCAAAATTTTTAGAGAAGTATCAATATAACATGAGAGCTTCTAAGTATGAACAGAACAACTGAGTATCATCACCTAAAAAAGCATATTCCTTGGAAAAAATCGGTTCATTGTTGGGGGATGGAGTGTAACTGAAGTTCCAGTAAACTTTACAAAGTTCTTCATAAAAACCATACTCTAGTTCTGAAAGTTTTATTCGTATTTGAAGCATCTTGTAATTTTTAGGTACACGAAAAACAAAATTTGAAATGCTTTTTTAATAGACATTTCGAAGTATAAAGATTAGAAATAGACAAGTTAAGCCAAAAAAAATCCTTCTAATAGCTCATCATCCTTGGTAGCTATCTGGAGAGGGAGTAAAGAATGTGACCTCTTTAAGACGGTATACTTTCGTGCTCCTAACCCTACTACCAGCATAGGCTTCTATTTGTCAAATGCCAACTATCTGCATGCAAAGTGAAAAGTTAATTAATCTTATGATAATACAGAAGAACTTGATATTTAATAGCACATCCAAATCTAGGTAACGTATGGCCTATACTTATACCTAGAAATAGTCATGTTAAAATGCTTCAGTTATTTAGTACGGACAGTATATAGTAATTTGGATCTAAGAAATAAGGGGTGGGGAATCTGATATTTTTCTCTTGTATACAGAGAGAATGGATATAGAATTTAATGTAGAATTATTCACTTTACACAGGAAGAAAAACTGGAGTCTCATTTACAAAACCTGTCCACTCTCATGGCACCGACATACAAGAAACTTGCACCTGATGCATATAATAATCAGGTAAGTTTAAATAATTTATAAAAATTGGAACCATTACTTATTATTGATGACCTACTTACCTACTTCCAAAAATACTTTTGAAACAATGATTTTTCTTTGTTTTTCTAACTTTAATCATTAAAGTCACTGCAATGTTCTGTTTCTGCCAAACAAAAATGACACCATTTTGGTCTTCTAATCTGTAAATATGAGTTTCTGAGGATCACAATATCTACTAATCTTGTTCTCATATGAATGATTTTGTCTCTGCAAGCAGTCTTTGGTGATTAAAATTATGTGGCCCAAACTATAGGCTCTAACCACTTCATAACTGTTTTCACAGGAAGTGTTTGTGTATATAGACAGACACACACACACACACACACACACACACACACACACACAGCTATGGGTATACTACTTTGTAGGTATCCAGATATGCCAGATTTTGCTAGATCTTTTTATTTTGGCCTTGGCTCCATGAACCAAGCAAAAATTTATTCCTAGTTTATAAGTATGTTCTACACTGTACCTCTTTAGAAAGCTAGGTTTTCTAAAATTCTTGTCCAGAAATATTCAGGAAAGAGGCAAAAGACTATAAAAAGTCTTTTCTGTTTCAATACTATCAACAAAAAAAGCATTAAATGAAAACCTATTACAAACCACTGTTTTAAGTCACTGTGAACATAAATATGAGCAACGTAGTTTTTCTGTCTTTAAGGAATTGTTTTCCCAAGAAAAGATATAGATATGTAAAATAGCAATCACAGAATAATAAAATAACAGCTGGGATAGAAGTATGCACACATTTCTGAAGACGCAAAAAGTAGAGTATAGGTGTAAGGTCACAAATGCTTAGAGACCACAAGAAGATCTTTGAACTTCATTATGTAGGTAAGAAAGTTAATATTTGGCTATGTTAAGTGTGTGTTGGGGTTGGGGAGAGAGAAGTGATTTAATTTATAAAAGGTAACTCAACACCTCAAATAAAGGAAATGTAATTTAGATTAGCATAAGATTAAATTGTAAAAGAAGCAAACTATTGCCATCATTGGGCAAAGGACATGTCAGTGATATATAAAAGGAAATAAGGATGCGAAACATTTGAGGTGGAACTTACAGAATTTAGTGACCATTTGGTTTTGAGGATGAGCAAAAGAGAATTTAAGGATCCATTAAATTTCTGACTTGAGCAGGTAGTTCTGTTAACTAGTATCAGGAATCAGAGGAAAAGTAAGTTTGGGGGAGAAAAGGGAAAAGGATAAATTTCATTTTGGAAATGCTAGGTTTTATATACTTCTGGGATAATTAAGAGAAAAACCAAAGGAGAACCCTGATGAGCACTACAGATTACAAAAAATGCAGGAAGTAGCTGAAGTTGAATGCATAGGTGTGAATGCCTGTTTTTCAGAATGGAGATTATAGAGAGGAGAGGGGGCTAACGGTAATGATGGGATTCTGGAGCACATCTACATTTTATGGGGAAGGGGTGGAAGGGGAGGAGGGGAGGAAGAGAAGCCAGTAAAGTCAGTGCTAGGGGTAAGAGCAATGCAGTAGGAGAGGTTGAAGATTTAAGGGCAAGAGGCAGACTGACAGACGGAGGGAAGCTAGAGATGACGAGAAGGTATGGAGCAGAATACACGGCAGAAAGGGATGTGGGTGAACATGAAGGGCAGTAGTACATTATCAAACATTCACCTAACATTGAAGACTAATGGGATTAGATTAATTTAACAGCAGGCAAACCAATCCTAATGAATGAATTAGCTATTCATTTCCACCGTGGACCTTAACGCCTTCCCTAAACCTCACCTCTTCTTTTAGCGGGAGCAAAGGAAGCAAATGAAATAATGATGGTCTGTTTGTAAGTTGTTTTATGTCACAATTTAGGATTTTAGAAATGTATATGAATGCCTATGAAAATTATTTTAAATGCTGTTTATAATAGTGGGATTAAAATTATTTACAACCTTACCTAATTTAGTCAGTATAACAGAAAAGTATAAGTGATGCTTTGGTACTGTAGAAAAATAATTCTGGATGAGAAACACAATAAATCAGGCTAAAAAGAAGAAAATTGAGTCTATGTTGCTAAATTTCAAGTTCAACCGCTTTCTTTTGAATTAATTTTTTATAGGAGCTATTAATCAAACAGTTTTAGCAGGGGAGAGGGACAGATCAACAAAGCATTAATGTTTACTCCTTTGATCTTCACTGAAGAATGAGAATCACGTAATTTTCTAAGCATTGCTGTTCTTACCTGTTACATTTTCTTTGGAGTATTTTATGCATTTCCTGAACCTTGAGTACCCAAAATATGAAGGTACTCAAACTTTTTAAGCTATAACAAGATGATTATATCTAAGATTATATGTAGCTCATGAGATGTTTTTTAAATATAGATTAATAAGTGTGTAGATATACTAAGCAATAGGTCTAAAGTTCCAGTTAAACAGGAAGAATAAGCTGTAGAGATCTGCTGTACATTTATACGTATAGTCAACAGGAATGTATACTTAAAATTTTGTTAGAAGGGTAGATCTCATGTTGTGTTCTTACCACAATAAAATAAAATTTAAATACTACATGCATTCATACATAAAAAATAGATGTAATATCTCTCTTAATTAATTCAATTAATGACTGTGAATGGAGAAGTTGTTTTTTATATTGCATGGTAGGGACTTTGGTAATATTCATCTATATGTCTTAACAAGGTTTAGAGATTTTAGAAGAACATCTGTGTGATCTTTCCACATATTAAATGGGAAGATGTTTTGACGTTATGGATGCTGTCAAAACCTACCATTTGACCTTTGCCTGCTTCCACCAATTGACTATATTTTCTTTACGTCTCATATCTAAATGTGCTTCCTTGACTCACTCCCTGTTTTCATAGTTAAAGTCTTGCTTCATTGGGTCTTCAGAGCATTTCTTCTGTCAACTCCATGGAGTTATTCTCAATTTAAATATTATTCCTTTATAGCTACCCGGTAGATTTACATTTGTCTCTCTCTTCTATGATTGTCTTAAGATTAAATTTTAGGCCTGAATTAGCAGGTTCAAATCTCAAAATCTTGTGCTTTCGTATATAGAAATAACACTTTAGACCAAGCTATCCAAGAGAACTTGCTACGACAATGGAAATATTTTGTGTATGCTGTTCAGTTCAATAGCTGCTAGCCACTTGTGGTTACTGAATGCTTGATATGTGGTTAGTGCAATGGAGTTAATGAATTTTTATTTTTATTTTAATGAAATTAAATTTCAGTAATTTAATTCACTAGCTAAATGTGGCTATTTACTATTCAAATATTGAGTAATAAAGCTTACACCCTCAGAAAGTCATGCACTTAGAATTGTCTTCCAGGCATGGAGATGAATTTTCAGCAATTCATGCACACACCCCACCATGGCGTTTATTATGAGATGGCATAAGTCTGTCTAATGACCAACTAGATTTTCTATACATTTTTATTCAAGGAACAGAATGATGCTGACCACACCACAACACGGACTAAACAGTCACAAACCACACAACTGTGAAATGAAGTGATAAACACCTTCACTTTCCTTTGGCCAGAGTCATGAGTTTCAGTACACAAATATGTTGCATTAACGCAGCGGCAAATAATATTCAAGCCATCAGAAACATGTTGTAAATTCAGTGTCTAGTCATGATGAATTAACAGGGACTGGATGTGCTTTCACAAATTAAAAAAAAAAATTATGAAACAATTTTTTTATACTTAGGAAAAGAAAAAGCACAAAATAGTAGCACCAGAAAACAAAAGAGGAGGGGAATTAAAAAGTGACCCTATGATTACTGTAACTTATTTCCTAAAGAGCACATTAGTGCTCCAGGGCCAGGAGGAGGATCCTGAACAGACCCCAGGGTTTTCTATGCATTAAGGAGACAAAGCTCAGAATTTGGGGAAGTAAGGTCATGGAACACACAGAATACCAGGGAGAAGAGAGTATCATTGAAAAGAGCCCCTGATACCTGTGCACAATTCTTCTTGAATCTTCAGCTGAGTATTGAACAGTGCATGCATGTGAAGAGAATACCAAGGCTGTAGAAAGAACCATCAAAAGGAGCAGACAGAACAATCCCTTGGTTTCTTACAGAACCTAGGAAGTTTTTGTTAATAACATTCAAAAGGGAAAGACCTATTAACATACAAAATGGCAAATAGCATATTCAGAATCTTATGACTTTGGTAGTAAAAAGTAGATTAGGCTATTGTGCTCCCATCTAAAGATATTTAAAAGCAAAACTTGAAAGTATCACACTGATTCCAAATAACATAATAACATCCCAAAACAAAGACTTAAAAATCCCTAAACAGGATAAAATTTATAATATCTAGCATCCTGTCAAAAATTACTAGTCATAACAAGAAAATATAACCCATAATGAGGGTGGGGAAAAAGCAATCAAATATCAAATACAGAAAATATTTACAGAAATAATAGCTAAAATTTTTTCCATTCAAAACTGTAAGCCTATTGATTCCAGAAGCTCAGCAAGCCCCAGTAGAGGTGGGAAAAAGACATGAGGTAAACTGCATAGAAGGTACATGAAAATCAATTTGCTTAAACTCAGTGACCAAGAGAAAAATGTGAAAAGCAGATGGAGGAAAAAAAGACATTACATCTAATGAGGAAAATGAGGATAAACACAGAGATTTCATGTCAGAAAAAAACTGCATGAAGGAGACAGAGGAGAAATAAATTTAAAGTACTGAAAAAAAAAAAACTGTCAACTTAGAAAACCAGTGAAAACAACTCTTAAAAGTAAGGGCAAAGTAAAGAATTTTTTTCAGATAAAAGCCAAAATAATTTACCACCAGCTGATGAACACCTCAAAAATGTTAAAGGAAGCCCTCTGACAAAAGAAAATGATACCAGATAGAAATAGGGATTAACAAAGAGAATGAAAAATATCACAAATTATATATATTTGAGTAAAAAGATCGTTCTTATTTTAAAAGTTTCCTCTAAAAGATCAATTGCTAATTAAAAAAATATTAAGAATGTCCTTTGGGGTTTATAACACATAGAAGTAACACAGGGGCTGGTAATGGGAACTGCAGTGGCTCCCCGCCCCACCGCTCCCCGCGCCCCCTCGTCTGCAGGGAGTCCCTTCTGAGAACTCCAGAGGATGCCTGAAACTTGTGGATAGTCCGAACCCTATGTATACTATGTTTTTTCCTATCCATACATACCTATGATGAAATTTAATTTAAAAATTAGACACAAGGAGAATAACAATAAAATAGCACAATTATAACAATGTATTATAACAAAAGTATTCTTTCAAGATATCTTACTGTCCTGTACTCACCTTTCACTTAAAGGGGGCAGTTTGTGGCTTCTATTTGGCATGTCTGAGTTACCAGCGTCACTACTCATGTGTTTTAAGACCATTATGAAATAAGGGTTCCTTAAACACAAGCACTGGGGTGCCACAACAGTTGATCTGAGAGCAGGATGGCTGCTAAGTTGCTAATGGGTGGGTAGGGTGGCACATACAGCTGGAGATTCTCGACAGAGGGGTGATGCACGACTCAGGTGGGACTGAGCAGGGTGGAGCGAGGTTTCATCACACTCCTCAGAGCGGTGTGTAATTTAAAACTTATAAATAGTTTATTTCTGGAATTTTTCATTTACTATTTCAGACCATGGTTGACCACAGGTAACTAAAACTGGAGAACAAAACTGCAGATAAAAAGAGACTTCTATATACTGTTATATGGTTCTCATATTATATATGGAGCGGTATATTATTACTTGAATGTAGACTGTAGCAAGTTAAAGAGTACACTGTAAACCTTAAAGTACCCACCAAATTAAAGCCAATGATATTAAATCAAAAACTGTACCGCAAAGATACCTACAAAATCCCTAGATATTTGTAAATGGAGCAATATATTTCTAAATGACATATAGGCCAAAGAATAAATTACAAAGAAAATTAGAAAGTATTTCAAGCTGAATGACCTTAAGACATGGCATTGAAATTTGTGGGATGCAGCTCTAAAGCCTTCCTTGGAGAGATACTTATAGCATCAAATGCTTATATTAGAAAAATTTGACATTCTAAATTAATGATCTGTATTTCTACCCTAAGAAACTGAGAGCAATGTAGCCCTAAAAGGCAAAAAGAAGCAAAAACTAAAGAAAGAACTGAAATCAATTAAATAAATACAGAAAACAAGAGAATAAATGAGAGAAACCAAAAGCTGGTACTTCAAGTTAATTCAAGCAGTAAAAAAAAAAAAAGAAGGTAAAAATTGCCAATATCAAGAATTAGAAATGAGACATCACTACAGATACTACAACCATTAAAAGAATAATAAAGACATGTTATTAAACTTTGTCAATAAATTCAGTAACTTAGATGAAATGTGCAAAGTCCTTGAAAAACACATTACCAAACCTTACTAATGAAAAACTAAATCTCATAAACAGTCTTATATCTATTAAGAAATTGAATTTTTGAAAACTCCAGGTCCAGATGACTTTCCTTCCAAATTTGACCCATTATTTAAGGAAGAAATAGTAACAAGTCAATGGAAATGCCTCTAGAAAATAGAAAAGGAGTAAACACTTCCCAACTCATTCTGTGAGGTTGGAAATATTGATACTAGAACCAGAATAAGGCATTAAGGGGAAAAAAAACTATAGCCAAATGTTCTTCATAAATACTAATGTAAAAATTCTTAACTAAATTATAGAAAATTAGATTTGACAATGTGTAAAGGAATAGCACATCATGACCCAATGGAGTTTATTTTATTAGTTCACTTAATATTTTTTAAAAAATTAATGTGACTGGCAAAATTAACCAACAAAATTGGAAAAAATATGACTGTCTCAGTAGATGGAAAAATAAAGAACATTTGACAAAATTCAATATCCATAGAAGGAAACTTTCTCAGCCTAATAAAGAACGTAGATCACAATCCTAAAGCTAACATATTTAATGGTGAAAGACAGCATTTTACCCATAAGATTAGGAACAAGACAAGCATTTTATTCTTCATTCTCACCATTTCTATTTAACATCTAACAAAAAATTTTAGTGAAAAGATATTAAAATACTGCAGATTGGAAAGGAAGAAATACAACTGTTTTTACTTGCAGACAGCAACTTGTCTACACAGAAAGTCCCAAAGAATCTACAGGAAAAAAAAAACTCCTAAAACTAATAAATGGATTAGCAAAGTTGAAAAACACAAAGACCAACTGAATTTCTAATATTAGCAATAAACAAGAATTGAAATGAAAACCCATAGCAATTAAATTGTATCAAAAATATGAAATTCTTAGGCATACATTTTACAAAAATATGTAAGAACCTGTACACTGAGACCACAAAACATTGCTGAGAGAAATTACAGAAGACCTAATTATCTGGAGAAATATACCATGTTTATGATCACAAGGACAATATTGTTAAGATGTCAGTTGTCCCGAGATTAATCAATGCAAATGAATTCAATACATGACATATCGAATGATCACCAGGTGTTCTGCGATATTGGCAAGATGATTCTAAAATATTTATAGAGAAATGCAAAGGACCTGGAATGGTCAAACAATTTTTTTTTTTAAAGAAGACCAGAATTTAAAGACGTATACTCTGATTTCAAGATTTACTAAAAAAAAAACAACAAAAAACACTTTTTTTATTTTTGACATTATTTTTATTGTTGACACTATTACAGATGTCCCCATTACCAACCCTGTCCCGCCGTTGCCCCAGCTCCACCCAGACTCCGCTCCCCCGCCCCTCTGGCCATCACCACACTGTTGTCTGTGTCTGTGGATTATGCACATACGTTCTTTGGCTAATCCCTTTTTTTTTAAAAAAAGGAGCAAAACTTGAAAATTTATACTCTGGTTTCAAGATTACTAAAAACCTACATGTTTTAGTAATCAAGACAGCTAACATTGGTGTACACATACACACATGCACACACCCCATTATATACCAAAAGATCAGAGAATCTAGAAATAGATCCAACCTGTATGGTCAATTTTCAACAAAAACAATTCAGTGAGAAAGAAATAATCTTTTTATCCCATGGTGTTTGAACAGTTGGATAGCCATATGGGAAAAAATTACCTTTGACTCTTAATACCATATATAAAAATTAACTCAAAATGGATCTATTTATATAAAACTCAAGAAAATGCAAACTAATAATTTGTGACAGAAAGTAGATCAGTAGTTGCTTGGGAACAAAGAGGAGGCATGAATTATAAAGGTATGAGGAGACTTTTGGGAGTAATGGATATATACATTATTTTGATTGTGGCAATGGTTTCATGATATACATATGTCAGAACTTATCAAATAGTACAGTTTAAATGTATCCTATTTAATGTTTGTCAGTTAAACCTCAGTAACACTGTCAAATAACTTTACAATGTCAAGGTATTTGCTTTGTTTTGTGTCGCTCTGTTGTGTTTTTGGATATAAAGTATGCAACATTTCTAAAAATTCTAAATATTAATGTGTGTTTTTGGCCTATTCAGTGTACAGGTCTTGTACTGTGTTGGAAATATATGCCTAAGTACCTCCCCGCTCACACACACACTTTGATTCTTCAGATTGAATATGAACACAGAGCACCAGAGTGCCGCCTGGGTCTGAAGGAAGGCCGCCCGTTCTCAGGGGTCACTGCCTGTTTGGACTTCTGTGCTCATGCCCACAGAGACTTGCACAACATGCAGAATGGCAGCACATTGGTAAGTGGGGCTGAGGAGAGGCCAGCAGGCTGTCCTGTTGGAGAGCAGAGAGCTGGAAGTTACCAGCATTTGGTTGGAGTGGCATGTCCTCTGCAAGTGTCACCCTGCACAGTAGTGTTTTCATGAATGACCTGTTGTTGCATAATTATTTGGCCCACCTAGCACTCTCATAACAGGTTGGCACACTGGTGGAAAACTGTGTTGACAGGCACATGAAAACCATGGAAATTCTTGGTGCTAATCTAAACCAGCGACTACATTGCCAGCTACAGTTGGCTGCCAAAAAATTTTTAAAAATTAAGTGTCAGATATCTGGTAGGTTATAATCTGTTAAGCAGAAAGCCATCAACAAGCCAAGATACCAGTTCACCTTGCAGAGAAGTATGAATGAAAAACGCATCATCATTGTCACAGTAACGACTATGGAAGATTCAAAGTGAAAAGGAGCCCATGAGAACTACATATTCCAATAGGTGAGGTGCATTGGACCTTATAATTGGAGGCAATGGCAAGGGGAGGAAATGGATAGAGTCTTAGGGTAAGGCAACATTCTATCCTGAGAAAGGCCAGGGTAGGGCTTTGCCTGTGGAGAGAATATCCAGAGTAGAGACAAAGAATGAGAAAGTTCTGGTGAAGAAACTATACACTAATCAACTGTTGAATGAGTCATCAATATGGATGCAATTATAGTTAAGGAAGATGACCATTGAGACTTAAAATGAAAAACAGAAGAGAGGCACTAAAGTTATACTCTAGGATAGAAAAGAATTCAGGGAGGTAGTAGGCAATAGTGAAAAGTAATTTGAGGAAGCAGGTGCAAAGTTTCTGTTGAGAAGCAGAGAAAGTATTGATTGAATGATCTAGAGCAGTGATTTTCAACCGGTGTGCCACAAGGATTTTTAATGGGCTAGGGAAGGGACAGGGGCGCCAGGGGCCCCAGGTGGTAGCTTGGGTCACCTACCAGATGCTGGTGTCGGCAGCGAGGCCACGGAGGAGGGCGGTGCATAGCCAGGACCATGGAGGGGTGGAGTGACTCCTGCAAGATTATGCTAGTAGGGGACTCAGAGTGTGGCAAGATAGACTGGCGCTGCTGCAGGTGTTGCCCAGGATGCCTGACCCAGGAGTCCTGGCGGCACCATATTTGAGAACCACACCACGAGCTTTGAGACAGACAAGCACTGCATTGAGCTCAACATGTGGGACACTTCAGGTTGCTATGATGACATCCAGCCCCTGGCCTCTCCCGATTCAGATGCTGTGCTCCTCTGCTTCAGTATTAGCAGACCAAAAACACTGGACAGTGTCCTCAAGACACGGCATGGGGGGACACTGGAGTTCTGCCCCAGTGCCAAGGTGGTGCTGGTTGGCTGTAAACTGGACAAGCGGACGGACCTGGTCATACTGAGGGTGCTGGCCAAACAGCGTCTTATCCCTGTTAGATGTGAGCAGGGCACTGTGCTGGCCAAGCAGGTGGGGGCTGTGTCCTTCGTGGAGTGCTCCTCCCAGTCCTCTAAGTGCAATGTCAGGGGTGTCTTCCGCAAGGCCACAGTGGCCTCCCTTGTTCGTGGCCATAGGCAGCTGCACTGTGCTGACTCTCACAGGGGCCGGGGCCAGGAGCTGGGGTGGGGCCGGCGGGCTGGGGAAGCTGGCATCAAGCAGTGACCTTGGCTGAGTCTCAGTATATGAAGGATGCCTTCCCTCCCCATCCCCAGTCCCCATATCCTTGTCCAGGCTTCCTTCCCTAAGGAAAACATCCATTCCATGACCTTCCCTTTTCCTCTCCTCTCACTTCTACAGCTGTTCTCACTCATCCTAACCTCCAGGCAACATGCACTAAATTAAAAAGCAAGTTAAGCCCCTCATCCCATATATCCACCAGTCATAGCTCCTCCCTCTCTTCCCTAACAGTCTCCAAATAAAGCTCATGTCCATGGAAAAAGTAATCATTTTTGAAATGCCATCCTGACTACTTAGGTGCACAGACCTCTTTTCCCTTGGTGTCAAATAAAAAAATGACAACAGCCAACACAACAACACCCATCTGGTGTGGATGATTCAAACTGTGTCTATTTTATTCTGTCAGATCAGGAAAAAATATATAATACTTTTTTGGTGTGCCACAGAGTTTTAGGAATTAGTTTCTGTGTGCCATGAGATGAAGAAGGTTGAAAGTCACTGGTGTAGAGCAGGGGTTGGAAAACTTTTCTCCTCAAGGCAAGATAGTAAATATTTTAGGCTTTGGAGACCCCGTAGGGTTTACATAAGGCACATTCTGTGGCTGGGGCTTTTTAATGTAAAAATCCTGTAAAAATTCAAAAACCATTCTTAGTTCACTGGCCGTATAAAAACGGGCCGTGACGCAGATTGGCCGTAGGCCTTAGTGTGCTGATGTCTGATCCAAGGGAACAATTACAATTTTCATCCACGATGTCTAAAATCATCACTAATCATGTTTTGAGCACCTGCTCATTATTAGGAGGCTATGCTAGTTTCTGAGAAGAGAAGAAAAAATTATGATAGCTGGAGGTGTATTAGGTACTAAAAACAAGGAATTTCATTCCAGCAGAGGATGAGGAAGGTATTTTGAATGAAGGGATATTTGCCTCTGCCAGGTCACTGGAAAAAAAGCACTACATAAGAACTAAGTGGGGATAAATGTGTGTGGGAAAAGGAATAAATACTCAGAGACATGGATTTGAAAGACTTCTATGTGTGGAAGTGAGAAACTCATTTTAATACAATCTCATGATAAACTTTTTTTATAAAAGTCTGCTGTAATAATGATCACATTCCTTTCAAGAGTATTTTCCAATGATTTTATACTTCCTTGAGTTTTAAATAATCATGGTTATATTGTCTCCACTAATCAAAAAAGCACTAAATACTAAAAGCTGGTACTTTAAAACCAACCAATAATGCTTCATCAAAAACAATGGTTGTGGCTAACAAAAGAAAAAACTACTATAAAGTCAACAAAAGTATCCTTCCCCCTCCCCCCTTTTGGAGTACCTCCTTGTATGTAGTGATGTCTCAGAAAAGAAATAAATCTGACTCATTGTTTCTCTTTAACAGAGTACAGGGGAGAAAAAAGGAAAGTAGAAATAGTGTTAAGTTACATGTTAGCTATATCAACCAAATATTCAATTTTACATTATTTAAATTGTACTTTGATATCTTGTGGAAGTTTCTCAAACACACTGAAGGAGAGAGTTAGGAGTCAGGTGTGAGGAAAGATGTAAAATTTCTTTGTGCACAAAAATATGAGATGAGGCGAATGTAATATGACCAAAAACAGAGACAGTCATTTAGTAGAACAGACTTTTAGCCTTTTTCTGAAGAGGTTGTACATTTATCACATTTATTTTTGAAGTGTGAAAAGAGGGAGATTGCTTCATTTTGGTAGGATTGTTGCCTCTTCCCATAGAATCAGAAATATCTGTGAAGAAGAGAATCGCCAGAGATCATAGTTCCTGACAGGCATGCACACAAAAGGTCAATGCAAACTTGTCTATCTCCTTGTACCATTTTGATCCACTCTTCATTAATAATAGACATGGTTTTGTGGTCACTGCTCTGATCCAGTAGGCCAACACCACAAATCTAAATACTGAGAGCAGGAAAGAAAGACATAGATAGATAGATAGATAGATAGATAGGTAGATAGATAGATAGGTAGATAGATAGATAGATACACACACACACGCACGCGCGCGCACACTTCATTTGGACTGAAATTGACACTGTACTCTCTTACTTTCCTACCAGGTCTGCACCCTCACTAGAGAAGACAATCGAGAAATTGGAGGAAAACCTGAGGATGAGCAGCTCCACGTTCTGCCACTCTACAAAGTGTCTGATGTGGATGAGTTTGGGAGTGTAGAAGCTCAGGAGGAGAAAAAACGAAATGGTGCTATTCAGGTACTGAGTTCCTTTCGGCGGAAAGTCAGGATGCTAGCAGAACCAGTGAAGACATGCCGACAAAGGAAACTAGAAGCCAAGAAAGCTGCGGCTGAAAAGCTTCTCTCTCTGGAAAGCAACGCAAATAAGAACGAAAAGGACAAGTCAGCCCCATCTCGTATAAAACAGACTGAAAGTGCAACGCAGGCTAAACAGTTGGCAGGTAAATTTTGTGTGAAGCATTGTAGACATATGTATTATACTTAAAAATGAACACTGTCAGTTTTGGAACGTTACATTTAATCATGGCTTAGTTCTGTACCAGAACCTTCTGCAAAGTAGTGAGGGCCTGCTTTGCTCTTGGAGATGGTACTGAGATATTGCACCATCAACCCGTGCTTGTTGGGAAACTTTGGATTTTATTCTATAATAAATGGCAACATTTTCTGATAGGTAAGTGATGTGATGAAATTAGTGTTAATCTAGCAGTGGCAGGTAGGCCACATTAGAGGTAAAGGAGCAAAATAGTTAGCAGGTGGATACAATAAATCAAGAGTGAGTTAATACGAGCATAAATCTTGGTGGTAGCAATGAGCTGGAGCAAAAATGATGGAAGTGAATTCTTCCAAAATGAATAGTAATACCCTGGTGATGAAACATTGGAATGAGGAGAAGAAAAATTTAAGGATGACTCCAAAGTTTTAAGCCTAGATAATTAAACAGTACTATTTATTGAAATAAGTTTGGAAACAAGATTGAGGGGGTAGTGGCAGGAGAATAAGATACCTCTCCTAAGCCACATTGAATCTGAGGTTTAGTAGGTAGGTCCATATGTAGTTCTCATGACGCTTTTACCCATCACAACAGATCACAATTTATCAATACTAAGTTGATATTTTCTTTCCAAAGCCCTTTGCTTTACGTCTGCGGTTAATAGTGTAAAAAAATCATACAACCATATAATGTCCATATCCAAATTTTAGAGGTGGTATTGGCCTGGTCATTAACAAAAGAATAATGCATATCTTTTAAGTTTACAACCATCATTGCATCAGAAACTCAAATTTCCCTGCTGATTTATCTTGAAGCTCAAACTAAATAATTTGGAATAATATGCAAAGGATGCTTAACAAATATTTGTTGATTAGTTAATTCACACTAAGACAAGCTAAGCCTCTTCAGACCCTGGTATCTCCTGTAAGGAAACTGTAAAATATAAGCACATAGAACGTGGCCTCTTGTCCCTTCTAACCGGTTTCCGTAATAGTTGTTTCAGTTGTCAGGACTGCCATTGCAGATCCATTTGTTCTTATCTCAGGGTACTTTCTTAAATGAGATCATGAAACAGAAGTTTGACTTTTTAAAGTGTCACTCACAAAGTTTAAACTTTCATTAAAGTTTTATCGACAACTGTAAATTTCCTTTCTCAAAAGCATGCTAATGAAATGGGCTCATGTACTATAGGACATGCTTCGGGTGTTTAAATGAATGTCATTCTTTTTCTCATAGCATTCCTGAGTCTTTCATAAAAAATGTTATGCTACTTTATTTTAAGTATTTAACCAATTTTATTGCATGCCAGGCAATGGAGAAATAAAGTAAAATAAGGCATACCCTCAAGGCAATCCTTTTCAGGAGGGTAAAGAGGGGACTAAAATTCATAATTTCAATAGATCATCACCACTGCTTCATGGAACTTGTGTTTGCAGTGAGTACTGCAAAAGCACTGGAAGATGAGGTCATAGAGGCTTCCTCAAGGAAGGGATGAAGGTGCCAAAGACGGGCAGGGGGATGGCTGGAGGGAGGAGGGCTCTCGTGTAGGGAGTGTGGCCTGGTGTGAGCACAGAGCACCAGAGAATGTGATGCTCTCAGTGGAATGGTTTTTGGATGTTTATTCCTTTTATCTTCACTTACCAGATTGTACTGTTAAGAGGTCTTCCATTTTATTTCTAATACTTTAGAAACAAAAAAATTTAGGCCAGATTGTGATCAGAACCCTGACTTTGCTCTTATCTTTGTTTGATGGGTGTTGCATATTGCATAGTCCTGATGGTGGTTCTTCAATACATTTAAGCATCCTCCCTAGCCTTTATAAAATAAAAATCAAGCATACTTGTCCCCCCTCTTTCTTACCTTGTCTTCCCATCTTTTGGGACTTTCAGGACCAGTCATGCAGCAGCCCCAGCCGCCTCAGCCGCCCCAGCCGCCCCAGCCACAACCCCAACAACTACAGAAGCCACCTCCACAGCTACAGAAGCAGCCGCAGCTGCTGCAGCCACAGCCGCAGCCGCAGCCGCAGCCGCAGCAACCCCAGCAGCCGCCGCCACCCCAGCCGCCGCCGCCGCCGCCGCCGCCGCCACCACCACCGCCACCGCCGCCGCCACTGCCACATCATCCCTTGACTATTAACCCGCAGTCAGAGGCTGTCAATTCTTACTCTTCTTCTGGATCCACCAATGTATATATGAGACGGCCCAACCCAGTTAGTCCTTATCCAAGCTCTTCACATGTAGGCACCAACTGTATGAACTTCTATTCCACCTCATCCCAAACTGCGGGTTCATATTTGAATCCGTCTAACCCCATGAGCTCCTACCCTGGGCTTTTAAATCAAAATAACCAATATCCATCATACCAGTGCAATGGAAATGTATCAGTGGACAACTGCTCCCGGTATCTGGGTTCTTATTCTCCCCAGCCCATGGATCTATATAGGTATCCAAACCAAGACCCTCTCTCTAAGCTGAATCTACCACCCATCCATACACTTTACCAATCAAGGTTTGGAAATTGCCAGAGTTTTACTTCTAAGTACTTAGGTTACGGAAACCAAAATATGCAGGGAGATACCTTCAGCAGTTGTACTCTTAGGCCAAATATACACCATGTAGGGACATTTCCTCCTTATTCCACACATGAGATGGACGGTCACTTCATGGGAGTTGCCGCTAGATTGCCACCCAACATGAGCAATCCAAACATAGACTATAAAAATGGTGAACATCACCCGTCCTCTCATATCATGCATAACTACAGTGCAGCTCCAGGCATGTTCAACAGCTCTCTCCATGCCCTGCATCTCCAAAACAAGGAGACGGATATGCTTTCCCACACAGCCAATGGGTTATCTAAGATGCTTCCTGGTCTTAACCATAATAGAACTGCTTCTGTCCAAGAAGGCATATACAAATTCCATGACGTGGGCAGTCAGGAAAAGCAGCCTTCTACCGCAGAGGAAAACGATGAGGTCTGGTCAGACAGCGAGCAGAGCTTTCTGGACCCTGACATTGGGGGAGTGGCTGTGGCTCCAACTCATGGGTCAATTCTCATTGAGTGTGCAAAGCGTGAGCTTCATGCCACAACCCCTTTAAAGAATCCCAACAGGAATCACCCCACTAGGATATCTCTTGTCTTTTACCAGCACAAGAGCATGAATGAGCCAAAACATGGCTTGGCACTCTGGGAAGCCAAAATGGCCGAAAAAGCACGCGAGAAAGAAGAGGAGTGTGAAAAGTACGGCCCGGACTATGTGCCTCAGAAAACTCATGGCAAGAAAGTAAAACGAGAGCCCCATGAGCTGCACGAACCTTCCGAGCCCACTTACCTGCGCTTCATCAAGTCCCTTGCCGAAAGGACCATGTCCGTGACCACAGACTCCACAGTGACTACATCTCCATACGCCTTCACTCGGGTCACAGGGCCTTATAACAGATATGTATGATGCCGCCCCTTGTGTTGGTTACCTCATTTGACAAGACCACAACCAACCTGTCCATAGTGTAGTTCTCATGACATGGGCAGTGGGGAAAGGATACAGTATTCATGACAAACGTGGTGGGAAGAACCTCAGCTCACCAGCAGAAAAAGAGGTCATCTCCCCATAGCACTTAATTTCCACTGACTCCTCAGTGGTCACAGATGGCGCCTGGGCAAAAGACCAAAGCATTCTATGCAAAAAGAAGGTGGGGAAGAAGCTGTTCCACAACTTACATTTTTAAACACTGGTTCTATTACTGGACGAGATGATATGTAAATGTAACTTTCTTCCCCTTACAACTCTACACATCTGTGACCACTTTTAATAATACCAAGTTTGCATAGTCATGACACAAATCAAACAAGTACTGTAGTATTACAGTGGCAGGACTCTTAAATACCATCTGGTGCTGAACATACAATGTACTGAAATACTGGAATTACTGCTTTTTAACATGCAGTTTTTACTGTAATCTTAATATTAACTTTTATTTATCAAAATAGTTCCATGAAACAAATGAATAGACAGCAAAACACTGAATTTGTTCGGATATTCTAAGAAATGGTGCTAAGAAAATGGTGTCTTTAACATTTAAAAATTGAATGCCTTTATATCATCAAGATGCTATCAGTGTGCTCCAGTGCCCTTCCATAATAGGGGTACCTTTTCATTCAAGTTTTTATCATAATTACCTATTCTTACACAGCTGTTTTTAAAATGTGGACATTTTAAAGGCCCCTGGATTTTGTTCCAGTGAAGTCCTTGTAGGACAATAAACGTATATATGTACATATATACACACACATATGTATATGTGCACACACATGTATATGTATAAATATTTTAAATGGTGTCTTAGAAGCACTTTGCCTACCTAAGCTTTGACAACTTGAACAATGCTAAGGTACTGAGACATTTTTGAAAAAGTTTACTTTCCTTTTAAAATTCAAAGTGGATCTTTTTTAAGGAAAGGAAAGCTTTTAAAATATTTTTGCTTTTATCCATGCCTCTGCTGATGAGCAATGTGTCCATTTTCCATACAGCCAGTTAAATCCAAAAGGGGGCTTACTGGATTTAAAGGAATACATTGGTCTATAAAACATGTTTTCTGGTGCTCATCTCACATGCTATACTGTAAAAGTTTTATACAAAATTGTATGACAAGTTCATCGCTCAAATACGTAGTTTTAAGAATTTTCTATCAACTGCAGTAATAATGAACTGCATGCCACAGACTCAACCAAGCTGTTCAATGACGCAAAGCGATTTTATGGATCTATGTGCTCTTCAGCGAGCTGAATGTCAGTCTGCCTTTTTGTTGATAATTGTACATTGTGATGTTGTCATTTCTTAGCTTAAGTGTCCTCTGTACCAGGAAGACCGAGCAGACTGATGCCTGCATAAGATGAATAAACAGGGTTAGTTCCATGGGAATCTGTTAATTACAAGGAAAAAAAAACAGGCAGCTAGTTTGCTGTGGTGGTTTTAAATGAGTAATTTGTATAAAGAAGAAGTCAAAGAGATGTATAGTAAGTAAATTAATTGTAAACAAAACTTTTTTAACACAATGCTTTAGTATTTTAGTACTGTAAAAATTAAATATATACATATAGATATATATAGATATATATATATATATATGGATTTGAAGCAGAATTCACATCATGATGGTGCTACTCAGCCTGCTACAGATATATTATAATGTGAGCTAAAGATTCATTAAAGGCTTGAGTGATGTTCCTACTTGTCATATACCTCAACACTAGTTTGGCAATAGGATATTGAACTGAGAGTGAAAGCTTATAGCATCGTGTACCATCATTTTTTTTCCAAGACTTTCTTTTTTATTATTAAAAAGCATAACTTCTTTTCAATACTTGATTTCTTAGCAAGTATAACTTGAACGTCAACCTTTTTGTTCTAAAAATCAGGGATATTTCAGCTCATGTTCTCCTTCTGCCAACATGTCACCTGTGTTTATGTAAAATTGTTGTAGGTTAATAAATATCTTCTTTTTCAGGGATTTAACCTTTTTATTTTGAATCCCTCCTATTTTGCTTGTATATGTCCTAATGTAACTAAAACTAATTTTATAAATCTGTTGACTCTTTTTATTGTAAAGAAAAGCATTTTTAAAGTTTGGGGAATATTTTGGCTGTGTCAAGCAGGAAAAAAATTACATGAAAATAGAATGCACTGAGTTGATAAAGGGAAAATTGTAAGGCAGGAGTTTGGCAAGTGTCTGCTGGCTAGAGTCTTTCAACTCTCTAAATAAAGATGTTTTGGTCCTGTAATCAGGACAGGTACAGATCCATAAGGACTTCCCCAAAAAGGCAGAACACTTAGGTGTATGGTGTCCCCTCAGCTGTAACAATTACATTTTGATCTAAGTACATTTTTTGCTTACTAATATTACAAATAAATTCTTAATCAAATGAAGACTTTGAGTTTTATTGGTCAAATCTTTCTTTATAACATGGCTTCTGGCTTTAAAAACTTTCTCTAGTTTCTGTCTGTGACCAGTTTGCAATCATCTCAAAACATTTGTGTATGTTAAACCACATGATTTTAGTATTTTGCATATACTGTATATCTAACCCCAAATATTTGGCTACTATGTGCACATTTGTTGGTTTTGAATCAGCCATCCCTATATGAATATTTGATTTTTATAGTACCCACTGTCACTTGTCAAACTGCTGGCCAGCAAGAGCAGGAAGTATAGTTACGGGGGTTGGGGAGAGGTTAGGTAGTGAGAAGAAGTTAAGTGGCATATTGTAAATATCAGATCTATAATTGTAAATATAAAACCTGCCTCAGAATGAATGGAAAGCAGATCTCCTATTTGCTTATATAGGAATATCAGGTTGACTATGTAGCCATACTTGAAAATGCTTCTGAGTGGTGTCAACTTTACTTGAATGATTTTTTCATCTTGATTGACGCACAGTGATGTACAGTTCACTTCTAAAGCTAGTGGTCAACTTGTGTAGGAAACTTTTGCAGTTTGACACTAAGATAATGAGCTCTGTGTGCATTTTTCTATGCTTTTCTAAAAACTTAGTTTCATTTCATTTTCATGAGATGTTGGGTTGTCTATAAAATCTGAGGATGGTTATAAATACTGTAAGTATTGTAATGTTATGAATGCAAGTTATTTCAAAGTGTTTATTATTATATCATTCCTGATAACGCTATGTGAGTGTTTTTAATAAAATTTATATTTATTTAATGCACTCTAAGTATTGTCTTGTTGAAGTTTCTGTTCACTGCCTATATTAATGCCATCTTGATGAGGCAGAGGGAATGAAAAGAATTTGCTTTTTAAAGATATTTTTAGATGGTTGTTCTTAATGCTAAATTATATCTAAAATAATAATATCCATATAATTAAGGCCAAAATACTTCTCTGATTGAATAGTCTAGATATTCAGCTTCCCCACCTCCTCCCACCCCCCAGTTTTCTATTTAGTCTATTCACCTTACATGTGTAACCAGTGTAAGTCAGGAACAGAGCAGTAGTAACTTTACTGACCTCAGACTGACCATCGCTTCTGGTGTGTAGCCTGTGAGGGCCGTCAGCGAACGCAAGACACCCCAGGGTTTGAGTTCACATTGCTCTGGTCTAAGGCCAGCACTGATTTTAGATTCACATCTTCCTCTTCATGTCCATTCTCAAGAAAAATTCTTCCCGCCCATCCAAAATCCATGTTAGGCAAGAGGAGAGGGGAGATGTGGCCTGGAAGGCACCAAATAGACATGCATGTATGTCCTCATACATCCCAAGTGGCTTCAGTGAGCCGGAGGCTAGGTTGTCCTCTCTGCCCCTTCTCTGTACTGCGAATCACCCCTCACACATTACACCTGTAGTGCACACCTGCTGAAGCACTTCCTGGAAACACAAGGTATTAAACATAGTAACTATGTACAGTTACATGTCTTTCAGCCCTTCCCCCTTCCAACCCAACGTCCACCCCCTCCCAAAATGACAGAGAAATTATTTTCCTCATGCATTAAGGGGATCCCTTTCCCACATTCCCCTCTCTGTTCAACCTGGGCCAAATCTGATTTAAATAGTCATTCCTAAGCCCAGGAAATGGCTGCCACTTAGTATCCTTTGAGCTTGACTGGGTGATTCCTCCAGCACTCTACTCAAAGCAGTGCAGTAAAAGAAGCAGCAATGTCACTTAAAAGCAGTGGTCTAATGATTTATCTTTTTAAATCTCAGCCCTTCAGGGACACCGTCCACCTCATTTCACCATCCATCCTCTGGCAGAACTTTGGGAACCTCCCACTCTTCTCATTTGCTAGTCTCCCACGCCCAGGGCAAAGGGAACTAAGATTCCATGAGCTCAAGAGCTTTCCCTGTCAGGGCCCCATCTGGATCCCAGCTGCCTGAGGCAGGTGATGCTAGTGCCCTGGAAATGAAGGTGCAGGCAGGCAAGCTGCTCTGAGCCTGCAAGTGGACTTGAGGGGGCGGGTGCGCGGGGCGGGGTGGGGGGACTGCTGGAAGGGACAGATGAGCCAGCAGTTGCGAAGCTTGACTGGCCCCTCGCCTTCTCCGGAAATAATTGCCAAGAATGAACCTTCTCATGTCGGCAGGTAGGCACACAGCTGCCCTGTTGCACCCACTACCACTGCTCCTCCAGTCTGTCATAGAGTAAACCAGTTGATTTATCATAAAAATCCGCCTGCTTTGGGTAACTCTAGCTTAGCTCTGACTTCCTGCCTGGTTCTGCTGCTTTGTACTTGATCATCTGTGTGAGAACCAGATTCAGTGAGAAAAGACCTCGGTTTTGTTGTTTGAAAGGCCATGTGGAGGTGAGCACCAGCAGAAAAGGAAGGCTGAGGAAGCAGCGTTTCTTTTCCAAAATCGATGTGAGGAGAGAGTGCTTGTTGCGTGAAGACACTTGATCATTAACTTTCAGCTCTTGGCTTAGCAGTAAGGGGTTGGGGCTCTTTCTCCCCACCTTCCCCGTCAGAAACATACTCTCCAGCTGTTAGAGTGGTGAGAAAACTTTCATAAAAGATACTGAGATGAGAATTAACTGCAATTACAGATTATTTCAGTTTTACCAGCACTCTTCAGCTTCAAAGAACAAAGATACTTTTGTTCCCATGTATTCGAGGCCACCTGCCTACATTTCTCTCTCTTACCAGGCAATTTCTCACAAATCTTTGTGCTTGTCTAGCCAACATTCATTCTTGAAAGGGGCCACCCTTTTCCTTGCATATACACTTGACAAATATGCCTCCTTTGGGGGATTTCTTTTATGCTGTTTCAAAAGGAATTCCTCTCCTCAGTTTGACATTTTCCCCTCTAATCAATTCTTAATTCAAACTGAAATGAGATTTCTACTTAGGTGTTGAGTAAAATGGTAGTTACATAAAGATACTCCACTTCTTCCTTACGCCCACAAGAATGAATTCAGATCATTTAAATTCACAGAATTAAAGATTTACAGGCATATTCACGGGCTGCTTGCTTTTATTCTTTCCAGAGAATAGTGCTGTGAATAGAAATGTGAGTGTTGTTGCTTGAAACTTGATACGCTCATGGTGCCCTCAAACCTCTCGTGGGCAGCTCTCGATTTAACTCCGAGGAATAGGATGACGTACAAGTAACAGTGTGATGGAAAGTACCTGGCTTTCACTTTGGCCTTGCAAGTGTACTAGTTATGTGCCATGAAACCGCATCTGTAAAACTCGGTAAAACAATACACGCCTGACAGGAATGTGCTAAAGATTAATGGGAATGTAAAATTTTAAGTACAGATAAGAATAAACTGTTACTCTTACAAAGATTTTCATCTCTCTTTGCTTCCTGCTAGGAGGTTAATTCCAATGACTGTCCTGTAGTGCTTTGTCCAGCTGACTCCTGCAGCCCCCCTCCCTTCTCCCTGTGGGCAGGACCCCTGAGTCCCTTCCCTGACAAAACAGGTTTTCGAAACTGCAAAGCTCCTGATCGTGAAGCATCGTGAGGACCTCCAGGTTAAAGAAGACAGTGACAAAAAAGGGAAAAATCCCCTGTTCTGTAATCCCATAAAACCTCAGACTGATTTTCCAATGAGTTAATAATAATCCTCTTGCAACTATATGAAAATTCCAGTAGTTGAAATGATGTCACAGTTTCTAACATATCAAGTACACAAAGACTAATGAAAAGCCCAAACAATTTAAGAGTTAAAAGCAGAAGAAAAAAAAATCAACCAGAGAGAAAAAAAATGATTGAGGAAATTATAATATCTTTATTTTTATTACTTACAATGTCAGCTATTAATAGGTATATTTCATGAAATAAATGTTTATAATATCCATCTTTCAACTATGTATATTACAATGAAATGTTTTAAGGCAGAGTATGGAAGTACAGTACAATGGAAGGCAGACACTAGTTACGTTTTAAAAGTTATGTATCATTGACTTTAAAAAAATTTATTTTCATTAAAAATTGTATTCCATAGGAGATGCTATGCAATGAAGAACTATAGCTCTGGGTTCAAGTCTTTTCTCTGCCAGCTACTAGCTGTGTAACTTTTGGCTGGGTACTAATCCTTTCTTCTCCTCAACCTCTGCATCTAGAAAATGCATATAACAATACCTGTCTCACAAGTTTGTTGTGAGGAAGAAGTGAGTTCATTTGAAGCACATAGAAAGAATTTATTCAAAAAGCTATTATAATTATGTTTATTAATTCAGCTGAGGCTGTTCTTACCATAGCGGTTTTGCATGCATTTTCAAGTCATAAGTGCAAAAGAGAAAGTACTTATTAACCATACAAAATCATGGATAAGCAAATTTGAGTGAGACCTTAGGGATCACATTTCTTAACACCCTGGTTTTTTATAATCATTCCTTCTGTCATTCATTCACAAATATGTTTAAGCGTCCACTCACAAATGGTGTCAGGTACATTTCTAGGAGCTAGGCATCCAGCAATGAAAAAACCAGTAAGCCCCCATCCTCCTGGAGTTTACATTCTAGTCAGGAGAAAGAGACACACATAAAGTAAAACTGGAGAGAAGCGTCATGGGGAAAAGTCAGTCAGGGTAAGGGGAGAGGGAGTGCTGGCTGTTGGAAGGGATGGAGGTTTTTTAAAAATAGGTTTTTCAAGGGAGTCTTGCTGATAAGCTAACAGTCGGATTCAGTAAAGATGCAAGCCGTGTGAGTATTTTAGAAAGACGATATTCAGCAGAGAACTTCAAGTGAAAAGCGCTAATGTGAGCACATGAGCACAGGAAGGCTGAGAGTGGACAGAACGAGGGGGAAAAGGAGTGGTAGGGGATAAGGTTGGATGGTGGAGGGCCCAGTTGCAGAGCATTGTAAGCCCTTTGGTCTTTAAGTAAGATGGGACTATTAAAGGGTTCTCAGAAAAAGGAGAAACATGAGCTGATTTGTGTTTTAAAGAATAACTCTGTGTTAAGAAAATATTTTAAAAGGTCACTTCAAAATTTTAATTCAAAATGGTCTTTTCCAAGACATAATAATAAAACTGTCTAAAACCAAAGACAAAGAGATAATTTGGGGGGAAAAGCAAGAGAAAAATAATTCTTTCATATGAAGGAATGCCTATAAGTCTTTTAGTGGATTTCTCAACAGTGACCTTAGAGGCCAGGAGAGAATGGGATAATATATTCAAAGTGCCAAAAGAAAGAAACTGTCAATCAAGAATACTTTACCCAGGAAAGTTGTTTTCAGAACTTAAAGTAAAATAGACTTCCTCTAATAAACAGAAACTGAAGGAATTTACCATCACTAAACCAAACTTACAAAAAATGCTGAAATGAGTTATTCAGGTTGAAACAAAAGGATGCCAATTAGTAACATGAAAACATATAAAAATATATAACACACCAGTAGAGCTAAGCACATAGTGAGATTCAGAATACATTAATATTCTCATATGGGGATGTACTAACTACTTTCCAATAAAGGCTAAAGCACAAAAGCATAAAAATAGCTATAGCTTCAACAATTTGTTAAGAAACACACAATAAAAAAGATGGTAAATGATGACCTCAGAAAAATAGACATAAAAGTATAAAGCTTTTGTATGTAATTAGAGTTAAACTGTTATTGGCATAAAATAGACTATAATATATAAATATATGTACATACATATATTTTATATAAATCTCGTGATACTATAAAGCCAAAATCCACAATAGTTAACACAAAGCTAAAAAGAATCAAAGCA